CCTCCCTCCTTCCTTCCCTCCTTCCTTCCTTCCCTCCCTCCTTCCTTCCTTCCCTCCCTCCTTCCTTCCTTCCCTCCTTCCTTCCTTCCCTCCCTCCTTCCTTCCCTCCTTCCTTCCTTCCTTCCATCCATCTTTTTATCCTTCTATCCACCCAACCATCCATCCTCCAGTCTCCCACCCATTGATGAAGCACCTCCCGTGGGCCCAGCTGATGGTCCATATCTCTTTGGACGTTAGAGGAGAATGCAGCGAAATGAAATGAATGCACAGCTCCGTAAATCACCCACCTCTAGCCCCAGACCTAAACCACGGCATCCCTGCACCCCCGAGCTGGAAGGGCGCTCAGCGTGCAGGAACAGGGCAGCCCAGTCTGCCCCACGGCCACCTGGCCAGCACGGATGGAGGAAAAGCCAGTTGCCACAGTTGACAGCTCAGCCCAAAGGCTGCAGTCAGCTCTGCATACACCGCCCCCCGCCCCAGCCGCAGTCCCGCTCCTGGGCCACAGGTCAGCAGCTCTGTGATTGCTGCCCAGCACCTGCGCCCTGGGAATGGGAGGCAGCCCGGTGGTGTGCCGGAGAGGCTGAGTCTGATTCCTGGCCCTGCTGCCTACTTGCTGTGTGACTGGACAGTGAGATCTCCTCTCTGAGACTCTGTCTTCTCATCCGGGAAATGGCCCTGCTAGACTCCATCAGTCGTCGTCAGAATTAAATGGGGCCGGGGACAGAGTCGAGTGGCCCTCGGGTAGCAGGTGCTCAATAAGGCAAGGTCGCTGTCCCTGCTGCTCTGGCTTTCCAGCTTCCTGGCTCCCGGGGGGACAGGCTCACCTGCCCTGGATTTTGAGATCTTGCCTCTCTGAATGCTGCTCCCCGGCAGCAACCCACCTCAGACCTAGAGTTGCCGAGGGGCTCACAGCCTGACCAGGAAAGGCCAGCTGCATAGCATGTGACCAGCAGTGTGGCCAGGATCTGTGTGTAGTCCCCCTGCTGGGCGGGGCGTGCAGGGCTGGAAGGCCTCCCGGGGGGCACAAGTGTGCCTGTCTCGGTCTGCTCCCCAAGCTGAACTAACCCCTGGTGCCCATCCGGTCCAATTCTGAGTGACTTTGAATTTCAAGACAAGCAGCTTGTTCTGCGACCCTGCGGGCTGGAAACAGACCTGCGCAAACCATGGCAGAGACCTAATTCCACCAATATTCCTGCCCAGAGACCAGGCAGACAGGGCACAGCAAGCCTTGGTGGTTTCTTCCCATGGAGATGAGCACTCTAATTGCCAGGCTGGTGATAGGTCCTAAGTCAGAGGTTCGCTGCAATCCCGAGGCGCAGTTTCTGGTGTGGGAGGCCACCAGGAGAATTTGGGAGACCAATACAATCGATCAGGGTCAGCGAAGGCACCTCCCTTCCCCCCCCCCCCCCCCGCCACAATGTAGAAGAACAGAGCCTGTGAAAAGGCAGTTTTAGTGAGGGAGAAGCTTGGTTCACTCAGTGTCAAAAATGTGACTGTGATCTGAGGCCCCATCAGTGAAGGTCTTGCATTTGGAGTAAGGTGGTGGAAGACCCTGTGCACTTAGAGACCATTTGATCTGAAACAATTTGATCTGACAAATCAAACTGTTCAGGGACCAAAGAGATCCAAGTGGGAGGGGACTGGAGCCCGGGCTGTTGACTTTGGAAGCACGAGGGGCCTGGGGGGTGCTAAAGGAACAGCCTGGCGGGGGTGGGGAGCTGGGTAGTTCAGCTAGTTGAGCGTCCGACTGGATTTCGGCTCAGGGCATGGTCTCAAGGTGGTGTGATTGAGCCCTACGTTGGGCTCCATGCTCAGCGAGGAGTCTGCTTGGGATTCTCTCTCTCCCTCTGTCCCTCCCCACTTGCGCGCACTCTCTAAATAAATAAATAAATAAATAAATAAATAAATAAATAAAATCTTAAAAAAAAAAGAGAGAGGGAGCAGCCTCCCTCTGCACAGCCCTCCAGAGAGCCAGAGAGGACAACCCCAGCCCGATAAGGAAGCATTTCCTACCAGTGGGAGCTGCGTGAGTATGGGCTGATCTGTCCTGTGAGGTGGTGAGTTCCCCATTTTGGAGGGGGACTGGCTCTCTGCTACAGCCCACCCGGGGCCAAGGTACGGAGTAGGGAGGAGCTCTGAAGACCAGGCAAACCTCAGACCTACCTTCTCCCGGCTGCTGTGGGCAGTCAGGGAGCGATGGGCTGCCCCCCGCAGGGCTGTCCTGTAGTTGCAGAAATTCCCTGTTGGGTCCATCTGGTGCTAGAAGGAGATAGGGAGGCATTTGGACAGCTGCGTCCCAGGGTCGGCCAGGGCCAGCTGGCAGCCCAGCAGCCTTGCTCACCTCGAGGATGAAAAACTTGGCAGTCTTCACTTTGGCCCAGGTCTTCTTCAGCCTGGAGACGGGGCTCATGTTCATGCCGGCTGCAAGAGGAAGTGTCGAGCTGGGTGGGGGGTGGGGGGCATCTCCGGGCCACAAAGTCTGCTTACTCCCTCGGGCAGGAGGCCTGGGGGTGGCTGCACCTTACCGAGGCTGAGCCCGCTGCAGACGGCTGGATGGTGGATGGGTGGGTGGGTGCTGGTGGACACTGTGTCCCAGGGAGCCTGGTGGCTGTGTGTGCAGGCCCCTGCCCCACTCCCCACCACACTGGCCCCACACAGTGACCAGGGTCTGCTTTAGGTCCCAGCTCTCCCTGGATCTGGGGACACACGGCCAAGTCTTCATGAAGCCCCTCTGAGGAGGGTAAGCTTGCCTCAAAGGGGGCACCTCTCCAGGACCTCCGGGCCCAGCAGCACCCACCCTGCTCTGAGGAGCACCCTGGCTCGTAGCCTACCCGCCGTAGGTGCCCGCTCCAGCCTCTCTGGGGGCGCTCCCAGCGAGGCCCGGGGCCCACCGGCCTACTCACAGATGATGGCCATCAGAGAGTTGAAGTTGCCAATGTTGAAGCACTCACGGGCCACGTCGATGAAGAACTCCACCACCTGGGCCCTCTGCTTCTTCTTGGCCGGCTGGGGACAGAGCACCTGAGCCTCAGTGGTAACAAGTCCCCACCCCATCATGGGGCCAGACCCTCATCAACATGCTCTCAGCCCCGTTTACGGCCGAGATGCTTGATGCTGGGGCAGTCTGCAGCCCGAGGGCTCAGGATCTCAGCGCATCCTGGGCAGGCCCAGCAAAGCCCACTGCCCTGGAGGGCTCAGGTGGGGCCTGGCAGGACTCCATGGGGTGGAGGAGCCTGCTGCTGTGCTCAAGACACCAATCCGCCCTCTTGGTCTGGCTCCCTCGCCTGTCCCCCCCACACCACGCTCGCTCTGCCCACACTGGGGCCACACACTGACCCAGGCCCTGTCCCTGGAGTAGCCCCTCCCTTGCTTTCTTTTGAATGACCGCATGACCTCATCCCCAGCTTATGGCCACACGCTTGGGACTGTGACTTCTCCGATGGCTCCAAACAAACTGGGTCATCCCCTGGGCTGTCCTGGACTGAGGCACTGCCCAAATCCTGGGAGGGTTTAATCCAGCTTTGCCCAAGCAAAGCCCCCTCTGAGCTGCCAGGCCAGAGATGGAAATGCAGGAAGCAGGTGGGGCCTCTGGAAGCCTTGCGTTCTTCCCATACAGATCTTGCTTGCTTACTTCTGCGCAGCAGTGGTCTTTACCAAGAAGTGTGAGACATGCTGCCCAAACCCCCTTAGGAAAGCCTCCCTCCTGAGGTCCTTCCTGTCCCTCCCGGGCAGCCTGCACAGTGACAGTGATGGCCGAGCAAGGAGGGGGACAGAGGCCAAGCATTCCACCTGCTGTGGGCCCTCAGCTGGAAGCGCTCCCGAGGCTGAGGCATCGCAGACCAGCTTTTCCTTCTGAGTGGCCCTGCCTCTGCCCCTTTCTCTCTTATCCCAATTTCTGTCTCAGCATTTGCTCCCGGAGAGCTCCACCCGGCACCTGTGTTGCCTCCAATCTTTCCCCGACACAAATGGCCCTAGGGCTTCACCTGATGGTGGGAGGGGGTTTTGAGGAGGCTCCCTGCACTCCAAGGAAGAGAAGAGGGTAGACAGGGTCTGGCCCCGAGGGACCATGCCTTGGTGACACGTGCCTCTGGCCCAGTGTTGACAAGTCTTCCTGCTTTCCGGGAGAAGTTGGAGACCTGGGCTTTGCATATATAATCTCCCAATTCTTAAAGGTTGGGTCATTTCTACTCTAAATCCAGAGAGAGCCAAGCACAGTGTGGCTGTAGGCCAGGGCACCCAAGGCCGACAGGCACAGTTGGAGGGAGCAGATCCACCTGGCCGAGCAGCAAACTGCCTCTCACACCTTCAGCAAGTGGTCTCTGATGCCCCATGTCAGAGTCCAGTGGATCCGTGCCAGGCTCTACCCAGAGGGAAATGTCACTGCAGGCAAGCTGGGGGACACCTGCTGTCCCAGAGAGGTGCGCAGCTTGATCCTGGGCTTGGATACTGACAGGCTCAAGATACCCTTCTGGTTCCCTCCCAGGTGGGCTCTCCCCAACCCCTGCCACCTTTGGCCATGCCGGGTCATGCTCCCCAGCTTTCTACCCACCATGCAGATCTCAGTCGCCACGAGGTAGCACAGTCTGTTGAACCATTTCACGTAAGCCTCCAGATTGTTAGTCTTGTCACTGAAACAAGGCTAGGAAAGACACAAGGACCACACTCAGCCTCTCTGTCAATAACTTTGGGAACATGAGGTCAGTTCATTGATCATTCTTATAGATCAGCTGAAAAATGATGAGACCTCAAAACTGTCCACAAATACCCATGATTTGATGTGTATCCTTCCAGCCTTTTTTCTATACATTCAAAGATGTCATTTAATATGATATATATATGTAAGTACACCCCCCCACACACAGTTGATTGTCATCATTCATAGATTCTATATTTGTGAATCTGTCTGCTTCCTCAAAATGCATTTGTAACTCTAAATCACTACTCGTGTCTCTTTCACTGTCATTCATGGATCTGTGCAGAGTGGCAGAAAATTGGAGTCACCCAAAGCACCCATGTGCTCCCAGCTGAGGTTGAGCTAAGTGACAATGTGCCTTCTTGTTTCAGCTCCCATACTGTGTGAACAACTGTCTTTTTTGGGGGTCTATTCAGTGTGATGGTGAGTCCCGTGCTTAGAGCGGCTCCAAGCACAGCAGTGTAGTTCCTAAGCACACGACGGCTGTCAAGTGCCCTAAGGAGAAAATATGGGTTAGATAAGCAGCACCTAGACAGGAGTCATGTTTTTCCATATGAACCTTTTCATATGCCATAAAATATCCTTTGGAAATTTTTCAATTGATGTAGAATAATTTTTCAATTGATGTAGAATATTCAACTGCATAAAATGCATGAGAGTTTAAAAGATTAAACTTAAGGTAATTTAAATATCCATGTTGAAATGGACAGTGTGACCTTCAGTAAGTAGAGGGGAAGATGGAACAAGGGATCTATTAATCCAAAAGAAGTAAAGTAAGGAGGAGAAAAAACAGGGAAGGCATGGGAAGACAAGTGAAGGATGCACAGAATCCATGTAAGTCGGTAATTACAACTGCTGTAATTATAAAACTCCGGCTACTTGCTATTTTCAAGAGGCACACCCCAAACCCAAAGATATAGGTGAAAAAATTGAAAAATATATATGATGAATATCACATAGCTGTACTAATATTAGACAAAATAGATTTTTAAAAATATTTTATTTATTTATTTGACAGAGAGACAGACAGCGAGAGAGGGAACACAAGCAGGGGGAGTGGGAGAGGGAGAAGCAGGCTTCCCGCTGAACAGGGAGCCCAATGTGGGGCTCGATCCCAGGACCCTGGGATCATGACCTGAGCTGAAGGCAGACGCTTAATGACTGAGCCACCCAGGCGCCCTGACAAAATAGATTTTAAGGCAAAAAAAATAAAATAAAAAATAAGACTCTAAGGCAAAAAGCATCAGAGGACATTCAAAGGGAACCACATCATGATAAAAGGTTTGATTAATCGTGAATATGTCACAAATCTAAACTTGCTGTGCCTAACAACATAGCTTCAAAATATGGAGGCAAATATAGTCAGAAAGGTAAACTCCTTTATAGGGAGAAATCAAATCTTACTGCCACGGTGGAAGATTTGAACATAAGGTCAGCAATTCATAGATTGTGGAGATTAAAAAAACAGTATAAATATAAATTTAAGCAGCACAATTTACATAGTTGAATTAACAGACAAGTATGGAAGCCTGCCTGCACTCAATCATGAGAATGTGTATTCTTTTCAAATAGTCAGAAATGTAAAAACACATTTTAAAATAATCTATGGGTCAAAGATGAAATCATCATGGAAATGATAATGAGAATACCAAAAACAAAATTTTGAGGGTGCAAATAAAAAATATACTTAGAAAGAAATGAATAGTCTTTCATACTTTTATTAGGATGGTATATGTTCTGCCGAAACAAGCACTATACTTTTATTAGGATGGAAGAAAGGATGAAAATGGGCTGAACATCCAACTTAAAAAATTAGAAAAAGAATAACAATGAAAGAACCCAAAGAAAGCAGATGGAGGGAAATAATAAAGATTAGAGAAAAAAATGAAATAGTAAAGAAAGATGCAACATATAGGATCAACAAAACCAGAAGCTCTTTATTTGAAAAGACTAATAAAATTGATGAACGCTTAGCAAGATTGATGAAGAAACAGAGAAGTGAATACAAAGAATATTAGAGGTGAATATGAATGTGAAAAAACTGAAAAGATAACTAGAGAGTATTGTGAATAACTTTGTGTCTATAAATGTGAAAATAGGACTGAGTCAAATTTCTGGAAAAATATAAATTAAAAAGTAGAGTAAAGAAGAAATAGAAAGCCTAAATAGTCCTATAATTACTAAAACAAGGAAAATCTTGAATGGGCACATAAAAGTCTTCCCTAAAAAGAAATACCAGGCTCGGATGGTTTCACTGGCAAATTCTACCAATGGTCCAGGAACAGGTAATTCGGTCATTCACACAGAACAGAGAACAGGGAGAGAGAAAACAGAGACAAGAACAGGGACAGAAAGGAAAATGACAAGTCAATCACATGATTATAGTGGCAGAAATCCTAAACAAAACAAGAGCAAACTGAGCCTAAGGATGTACAAAAAAGATAAGGATCATGACCCAGTTTCATTTATCCCAGAAATGCAAGGTTGCCTTGACAATGAAAAAGAAAGAAACCGACGAATACAATAGTTCCCCCCTTATCTGTGGTTTGTTGTCCATGGTTTCAATTACCTGCCATCAACCATGGTCCAGAAGTAAGATGATCAGTAGTAGTCTAATGCTACATCATGGTGCCTATGTCATTCACCTCACTTCATCTCATCCCATAGGCATCTTATCATCATAGCGAGAAGGGTGAGTACAGTGTAATAAGATATTTTGAGAGAGAGAGGCCACATACACATAACTTTCATTAGAGTATATTGTTGTAATTGTTCTATTTGCTTATGAGTTATTGTTGTTAATCTCTTACCATGCCTGATTTATAAACTTTATCATAAGTATGTGTGTATAGGAAAAAATGTAGTATATAGAGTTCAGTACCATCCATGGTTTCAGGCATCCACTGCGGGATTTGGGAACATATACCCCACGGATAAGGAGGGGGACTACTGTATAAGTAATCGCTTAACAGTTTAAAAGATAAGTAATCACTTAACAGTTTAAAAGGGAAGAGAACATAAGGTTAATTGACCCAGAAAAAGTAGTCAATAAAATGCAACAAACATTTATGATAAGAACTCTCAGCAAAGGAGGACCAGGGGACTTCCTTGAGCTGATAATGGGCATCTAAAAAAAAAAATCTCATAACAAATGTCATACTCTATTATGACATGTTAAAAGCATTTTGTTTAAAATCAGGACAAAAGAAGAATGCCTGCTAGCAACACTTCTATTTAACGTTTTGCCAGAGGTGCTAGTTAGCACAATAAGCAAGAAAAAGAAATTCTATTGGTCAGACTTAGCGGGGTTATTCTGCAATAACTAGTAATCCCAACATTTCAGAGAATTAAAAAACAGGACCCATCTGTCATTCATGTCCATCTCATATCAGTGGAGGATTCTTTGTATGACTACCTAGAAATAAAAAGAATAAGGACTGGAGGGGCGCCTCAGTGACTCAGTTGGCTAAGCATCTGCCTTCAGCCCAGGTCATCATCCCGGAGTCCTGGGATCGAGCCCCACATCAGGCTCCCTGCTCAGGGGAGTCTGCCTCTCCTTCTGCCCCTCACCCTGCTTGTGCTCTCTCTCTCTTTCTCTCTCAAATAAATAAAATCTTTTAAAAAAAGAATAAGGATTGGAAAGGAAGGAGCGAAACTGTCATTATTCCCAGATGATGTAACTGTCTATATGAAAAACACCAAAGAACACAGAGAAACTATTAGAATTAAGAAGAATGTACAATATATCATCAGATACAAAGTTGATATGCAAAAGTTAAAGACATTCCTTAAACTACACAAGCAGTTCAGAAAGAAGTACAATAGAAGATGCCATAAATAATAGCAAAAATATGCATCCCGCACCTCCCCAAAAAAACATAAAGGAAAAGGTTAGTAAATTTAACTAGGTTAAATTTTTTTTTTCCCAACTAGGTTAAAATTAAAAACACCTTCACATCCAGAGAATCACGAGAATGAAAAATCGAACTAAATCTGTAATATTTTTATGGAGATAGATATAAAACATTAGAAAGGTATTATGAAGTAGACCTAAGTAAATGGCAGGACACACCATTTGTATGGGTTGGGGGACTTGGTATCATGAAGATGAAAATTCTTCCCAAATTGGTCCATATTTCATATATTCTAACAAGAATCCCAGTAGGGTTTTCACTGAATTTGGCAAGGGTTATAAGATTTCAAATAGAAAAATAAAGGGCCAAGAATGGCCAAACCACTCCTAAAGAACAGGAGGGTTTGTTTCACCAGATAGGGAGGAAAAAACCCAAGTATACAAGCATAATCATGAAGACGATGTATACTGACGCAGAGATAGGAAAACTGACCAGTGGACAGAACAGACATCTACATGTGTAGATCAAACCTGGCATATGACAGTGACGGAACTGTCAGGGCGTATAGGCAGGCAAGACAATATATAAATAATGGTGCAGGAACACTTGCTATTTGTGTGGAAAACCATGAACATGGATCTCCACCTCAAGCCATAGCCACAAAGTGAATTTCAAATGCAAGGCTTAAATGTGAAGGACAAAATATTAAAACTTCTTGAAGAAAACATCAGAGATTATCTTTATGATCTGGGTAGGGAGTAGGGAGGGATTTCTTAACCCCCCCCCCGCACCCCCCCAAAAAAATAAAGGAAAAGGTAGTAAATTTGACTAGGTTAAAAAATTTTTTTCCAACTAGGTTAAAACTAAAAACACCTCCTTCTCATCCAAAGAATAATGAGAATGAAAAGCAAAAAAAAAAGGAGAAAATTTGCAGTTCACCTGACAAAGGATAGTCATCTAGTACACATTTTTTTTTAAAGCTTACCAAAAAACCTCTTTAAAATCCTTAAGAAAAAGCCAAACCACCAATAGGAAACTGGGTGACAAGAATTTCATAGAGGAGAAAGTAGGAATGTCCAAAACACACAAGAACATGCTCCCTTGAAGAGTCTGACACATTTGGAAGTCTGACGATTTCAAGTGTCACTTAGGATGCAGAGCAAGATGACTTCCTTGTGGGCAGCCTCACCAGCCCCGCCCCTGACACAGTCATTTCCCTCCTGGGTGTATTGTAGAGTGACAGTTCTCCAAGGGCACAACTAGTTTCGTGTTCATACAATGTCATTGTCTTTTCATTGTGTTGACATTTGCACTGATGTGTGAAAGACTAGTGGGTGAAACTGCCCCCCCCTTAGTCCCAAACAAACAGAGTCACCAAACCATACTCGTGGTCATTGTGTTCTTCACTATTACACATTCCTAGTCAAAGAAAAATGTGGAGTGTGACTTCAGCATGTCCTCGAGGAGGTGAACTTTTCAATTTTATTGAACCTCATTCTTGGGATGCCTGGATGGCTCAGTCGGTCAAGCGTCTGCGTTCAGCTCAGGTCATGATCCCAGGGTCCTGGGATTGTGTCCCCCATCGGGCTCCCTGCTCAGTGGGAAGCCCGCTTCTCCCTCTGCCTCCGCCTGCCGCTCCCCCTGCTTGTGCTCTCTCTCTGTCTGGCAAATAAATAAATAAAAATCTTAAAAAAAAATAAATCTCAATCTTGTGCACATATCTTTTTGGTATTCTGTGGGATTGAGCAGTACACAAAAGCATTTCTGGGGCATACAGAAGTCAGGTTTGAGGAAAAACATTAGTGTGACTTGTAAGCAGAACTGGCCACTTTTCTCACGGAACACCATTTCTACTCGAAAGAAGGACTGACCAACTATGGTTTTTTCAGACTTCAGTATTTGGTTGATATATTTTTTAAATTATTTATTTATATGAGAGAGGGAGTGAGCACAAACAGGGGGAGGGGCAGAGGGAGAGCTGAGCGCAGAGCTCGACATGGGGCTCGATCCCAGGATCCTGAGACCATGACCTGAGCTGAAGTCAGACACTTAACCGACTGAGCCACCAGGCACCCCAGTTGGTATTTTCTTGAAAATCAACAAAATGAGCCTGTCACTTCAAGGAAGTAATTGATAGTATTTGTTGTCACTGATAAAATTCAAGGTTTCAAGAGAGAATTGGGAACTTATAAGACATGTATCCCCATCTGTGACCTTGACAGTTTCCCAATACCCAAGGGTTTTTTTGGAAGGATGAGATCAGTAGTGATATTAGTGGACATGGTTTTAAAATATCATATAATGAAATGCACCAACATTTGGAAGATCTGTCTGGTTCAGAGAACTCATATTTTCCAAATGACCAACGTATGATGTTATAAAATCACACATGGGCAAAAGATCCATTAAGATGCAAGATGGACCAAGAGATTTTAATGCAACAGAGTACAGAAAGTCCACTGATACATTTTCAGATTCCAAATTGCAACTAATCTTAAAAAACACTACCACCTGCTGAGTTTTAGCATAGTATCAAAGAAAAATATTCACTTATCTGAAAATAATGTAAAATACTCTTCTCTTTTCCAACTACATATTTGTGAGAGGTTGGATTTTTCAACCCAAATAATGTATGTCAAGAGATAAGAGAATCCAGCTGTCTTTTTGTTACATTGGTCATTAAAGAGATTTGTAAAAATACAGTAAAGCAGTATCACTCTTCCCAGTAATTTTTTTACTTTGGAAAATCTAGTTATTTCCATAAAATATGTTACCAATGTGAACATGTGATAGGTTATTATTGCTCTTTTGAATAAATAAATATCTTTAGAAGTTATGGTTTTAATGGCTAATATGATGGATATTGGTAGATACCATCTACATAACCAAAAGTTCTTTGGGGTCCTTGATAATTTTTAAGAGTATAAAGGTCCTAAGACCAAATCATTTGAGAACTGATGCCCTAGAAAAATACACACCGATGTACATGGAAACGTGTAAGAATATTCATAGCAGCAGCATCTATAATAACAAGAGGCTGGAAACAACCACAAACGTTCATCGACCGTAGAGTGGGTGAAAAGAGGTCACGGGTCATCTCCGATGTACTTCACAATAAAAAAGTAATTCTTGGAGATGGCCAAAAACCAAAACCAAACGTAAGAACAACTTGCTGAGAGTGGCCGAGTCTCCTTGCCACTCCAACCCCCGCCCTCAAGCAGGGCTCCCAAGAGTACTCAGTATTCCTAGAGATTGTCTACATGCATGCGTTGTGCGGACAGGTATCAAGCTCCCTCCTTTTGTTGTTACACAAATGGCCATATCCTCTTCATCACTGCTCTTTGCTCTAGATTTTTTTTTTCTCTCTATAATGCATCTGGGTGATTATTCTCTACTTCTAGCCTCTCTTATTCTTTGTAATGGATGCATAGCATTCCATGCGTGGACGTACTGTAATTTGTAATTGAGCCCCCGTGGGTGATAAGGTAGGTTGCTTCCAGCGTTTGGCCATAATAGCCACAGTATATCCCAAATATCTCTATGTATACATCTTTGTGTACACGAGTGTGTATATCCCTAGGATAAATTATTAGGCAGGTAAAGTTGAGGTCAAGGGTGTACATTTCAAGCGTTGATGCTATTGTGAACTGCACCCCCCAAAGCCGCCGTGCCAATCCCCCCCACCAGCCGTGTGTGAAAGTGTGTCTTTCCCTACACAGCCACGATGCTTTATCTTGGCTTATCCGAGAGGTGAAAATGCACTCATATTTAGTTGCTCTTATTTCATTACGCCAGAGGGCAGAAGACAACAATGTTTCCAGTTCTGATTTGAATTGCACCCGGCTGATAAGCACCAGGCACCCTACTGGTTGGGCTCTAACAGAGGAGGGACAAACCCGAAATCCCGTGTGTGGACCGGTCCACAGTCCGTGGCCCGGGGGCCACTGCACCAGTTAGGGGGAAGGGCGCGCCCTTAGCTTTCCTGGGCGGCGCGCATTAGCGCGCGCTACCCCGGGTGGCCGCTGGACGGCACCAGCGCCCACCGAAACGCGCTGGGAGAGCTTGGGGGTTTGGAGAGCGCCTGGGGCGCGCTCCACTCTCCTCCGCACCCCGGGCCTCAGTTCCGCGCCCAGCCCCGCCCTCTGCCCTCGCTGGGTGGGTGACCGGCCGGCTTCCCCAGGATTCTGGGCTGTTGGGCTGGAGGCGCACGGGTGGAGTGGACGCAGCCCCTGAAAGCCCATCTGCTCTGCTCCGGGCTCCTCCGAATTCCCCAGAGAGGCCAGTGGGCGGGGGTCGCGGATGGGACAGCCTGTCCAAGGGCCTTCTACCTTTGTGCTGGCCAAAGGGTCCTTGTTCACAAAAGCCTGGACAAACTCCTCAGGCCCGATGTGCCGCAGCCGTTCCTGCACCAGAAGGGAGAAGAGGAGTTGGGAAAGGGGGCAGGTGCCGGGATGGGGCAGTGCCCACCCGGGGCCTGGCATGGTGCTCCTGCGGGCTCCCTGCCTCTCAGCCCACCCCAGGACGGTCTCTGGACACCTGCCCTTCTCACTAGGGCTCCACACCCCCATTCTGGGTTGTCACAGAGCTTGAAACCATCCTGAAGGAGGCACCCCTCTTTTCCCATGCCCAGGGGCTGCCGAAGTTCATGGGGGGCAGGAGGCAAGGTCGCCACAGGGCGTGCTTGGGGGGGGGTTATACCCAGGAAACCAGGCTCAAAACTGGGTCATTGAAATGACCTGCTCCCTCAGGGGGAGGTCTGAGTCAGAATCAAATTCTGGCTCTGTTCTTTCTGCTGTGTGACTTCAGGCAAGTCTCTTAGCCTCTCTGGACCTTAGTTTCCTCATTGGTGCAAAGGAAATCATAGTAGCACCTCCCTGGCTGGGTGTGGGAAGATGGAATGAGATGGTGCACATTAAGTTCTGAGTATAGTGCCAGAAAGTAAGGGAGCCATAAATGGGGGAGGATTTAAAAGAGAAGAAACCTACTCCCCCACCTCCCCTCTCTCTGGGGCAGCCCCTTGGCCCCTCTGCATCTACAAGGAACCCAACATGCTGGAGGCTAGGCTGGGGTGTCCCCTTCACACGCAGGAAGGCCTACCTGCACTTCTCTGGAAGGCTATGGTGGATGCAGTGTGTCTGTGAGTCCTGGATGGGGAAACTGAGGCCCTGGTAGGGAAGGCACTAGTGGCAGGAAGCTCACACGGCAGGTGGTGGCAGAGCCAGCATTTGAACCCAGTTCCTCTGTCCCGGGCCCAGACTCTCAGGCAGGCCAAGGGATCCAAGCCGGGCAGGCCTAGCATGTCCAGCCCTCCCGCTGGAATGGCGAGAGACTGTTCCAGAGCCAGGGTGTCCTGGAGGTGCCCGGCTGGCCCTGCTGGGACAAGCTCAAGCCCTGGGTGATGCGGACACAAGGCGGGGGGCCGGGGATGGCCGGTTCTCAGTTGTTCCCCGGCTCTGGGTCTGGCTAGAGGATGGCACAGGCCTGCTCACCAGCTCCACGTGGGTCAGCTGCTGGGCCAGAGTGTAGGGGTCACTGCAGATGCCGAGGAGCTCCCGGTGGATGGAGGCCGGCGGCTTGGTCCTGTAGGAGATGGGCTTGTCGGCACCCAGCAGGCCTTCCGGGCCCTGGCCTTGAGCGGCCAGCTTCTGGTGCAGAGCCTGCAGGAGCTGGTGCATCCTCTTTCGGTATGCCTGGAGGGGGCGGAAAGAGAGGAGCGCATGCCCGAGCGTGTCTAGCGTCTGAGGCTCTGGGCCGGCCGGGGTGTGAGCGATGGCGGGCAGTGCCCGTCCCTGTCCCCACCCTGGGCACGTGGACAAAGTGTCTCACTGCACAGCTTGGACAGACGCATGCTTGCTTTGGGCTGCCCTGGATGGGGTGCAGGGAAGAAAGGCCATGATGCCCACCACCCCCCCCGAGGTGATTCAGGCCCCACAAGTCGAGGAGCTGGCTCCGGAGCAGGGGTGGGTGTCTGGGACCTGGCGTCCAGGCAACAATGAGCCATCAGGCAGGCGGGTGGGGTGCCCTGCGGCCCCAGAGGCCTGGGAGGATGGTGGGTGGTCAGTAGTCAGATAGAAGATGTGTGCTCTCTTCATGCTGCTTTGAAACACACAGATCCAGCAGCATTTTGCAGGTGGGGCATCTGGCTAGCTGGGCTGAGTGTGCACAGGGGGCTTCACACTTCCTTAAGTCTGACAGGGCTCCTGGGGGCTGTTGAGGTCCAGCATTGTTGGTGCCCAGAGCTCTGGTGACCGAGTTGGCATCCACCTGCCACTCACAGAAGTGCTACTCTCTCAAGTGGCCACGGGCAGAGGCCTCAGGACACAGGAATCAGGACAGGAGACTGCTAATCCTACCCAAACCCGAACCCTAGCTCTTGCTCCCAGAGCTGTGGGGGCCAGGCCCACTGCTGAGTAGGATGGTATGTGGGTAAACTGAGGTCCAACTCTTCCGTCCATTGCCTGCGGAAGGAACAGCCCCTCTCAGCTCTGTGGGGTCCAAGAGTGTGGTCGGCATGCTACCAGTCAGGTCTTCACTTGCATGCTGGGAAACTAGGGAGCTGGGTTCATCCTGTGAGCTCCGACACCTGCACCGGGCCCCCCATCTCTCTCCTCACTCAGCCTGTCAGGAAAGCCTGGGGCCGTGTCTCAGGCTGGGTCTGTCTCCGGTTCCTCCTGCCTCGGGCTCTTGGCAGGCTCGACCGCACCGTCCTTCCGTGCTGGGTGCTGGAGATCCCTCCCATCTCCTCTGGCTCCCCCTTCCCCTTCAGTCTGTCCCTTGGTCCTGGGTAAGCTGGGTCATGTCCAGAGTGTCACTCAGTGTTTGTGTGGACAACATCCATCTTACACATGCAGCTTCTTCTCGGATCTGCAAAGCCACATGGCCAAGGGGCCACCTCGACCCAATGTGTGTGAGTGGCCGTCTCACCCCCCTTGCCCAGAGCTGCCTCCTTTGTCCGCATCCCTGTCTCAGCCACCGGAGCACCTGTGTCCTGCGCACAGGCCTGCGGCCATCCTCAAGGCCCCCTCTCCAGCACACCCCTCCTGGCCATCACCGATTTTGCTTTCTGCGATTTCCATGCTTTGTCTCTGTGCTGCAGGTCCTTGGAGGGCCCCCCTGCATCCACGCCAGCCTCTCTCCACTCCACTCTGCAGTCTGTTGAAAATGCACGTCTAACCTCTGCATCCCCCTTCTTTAAAATGCCCCGGTGCCTTTGCAAAGACAGAAGCCCCGTGGGGCTTGGGGGTCCTGAGGTCAGCTCTGGCTACACTCGATGGCCTCCACATGGCCCCTGTCCCCCTCCTTCATCCCTTTGGCCCCTTCCCCGCCCCTCACTCTGAGACCCCAGGAGGGCCTGTGCAGCCTTCTCTCTCCTGCACGTTCTTCTCATGCTTGTGACCTCAGAGCACTGGGCTTCCTTCACACCCTTGGCCAAGCCTTGATCGGGGGATTGTGCATCTCCTCTCTCTGCACTACCAGCTGCATGAAGATTACACCGGGTCACTCTTTGCTCGTCCCCAGCATGAAGGACTCGGGAGGGGCTCACACACATGTGCCAACTGGAGGAACATGGCCTTCACCTGCTTCTAGCTGCTGGTCAGCCTTGCCGGTGTAGACTGCGGAGCCCTCCTGAAGCCAAGGGCTCAGTGTGTCTGTGCCTAGAGTTTGATAGAACCACAGGCTTATGCTATTTTATAAAATATGCAGATGATTTCTCAAGACTTGTTTCTACTGAACCAATATATTCACTCCCAGTGATGATCCTTTTCTGCTTGCTAATTCCTTTAGAATTCACCCGGCGGTGTTAACCTCAAGTTCATCTGTTGGTTCTTTCCCGAATCTTCTGCACCCCTCTGAATAGGGGGATGGTGTGTGCTGGTTCTTCTCTCATGATTCCTACACCCTTGTACATAGGTACGTCTGAGCAGACCCAGAGACCCAGCTCTGAGAATGTTGAGGCTGTCCCTTGTCCCTGTCAGGAAGGCACATTCCAACCACGGAGGGCTCCACCCCTCATAGCCTGCCCGATGCTATCCATTTCCACGGACCCACCTGCCGTGTACGTGGACCTGGGTTTCAAGTACAGAGGTCGTCCAAGGGTGAAGGTTGTGGCTCTCCAGGTGCCTCCTGGCCATTCATGGTTAGAACTCATCTCTGACTGGACAGTCATGGGCCTCTGTTCTTCAGAGTTCTTGAAAAATCCCACCTGAGCCAGCCCAGGGTGACTTGCAATGGGCTCAGCCCACCCTGCAGAGGCAGAGGCTCTGCAACTGCCACCAGTTTTTTCTCTGTGTTAGCTTTCCACTCCCTGCGCCCATAGGTGGGGGTGGGCGTGGGGGTGGGGGGAGCCTCTGAGGACAGCAGGGTGAGCCCAGCAGATAGTCATGGGAATGGGAAAGCTAGGCCATCCCCGGGAGGGCCCGTGGTAGCAGCTTCCTCTGCAGCCGCCCTGGTGGGTGTGGCCAGGGCACATGTGTCCTGTCGTCTCTCCTTTACTGGAGCTGTGGCCTCTGGGCCTCCCCTGGCTTCCCCCTCAGTCTCAGCACTGGCCTTCCTGAGCCAAAACTGCTGAGTCCAACCTACGGGTAGCCCCTCCCAGGCAGGGTCCCCTGGCTAGCACAAGCTGGCCCCAAGCAAGTATCTTGATGCAGTGGCCACATGCAGTCATGGAGAAGGGCCTTTCCAGCTCCTCTCTGGCCTTTTGTTCCCAGATGCTGAGAGGTGGCGGGCAGTGCAGGGAGATCATGAGGGTTCGGGAGAGGGAACAGCATGTAAGAGGAAGTATCCCCTTTCACGGCCCTCTGATGGGGAAGCCCCCTTGGCCCTGGCCCTGTGCTGTTTCCTCTTCTTCCCTGAGCCACACTGTTATCTCACAGCCCTTATTACCCTCCCTCTTTATAGAAAGACATTGAGGGCTCAGAGAGGTTAAGGAACTGGCCCAAAGACACACAGCTCTGAGAACACTCGTGTTCATTTCACTGACTTGGGCACCACACTTTACATCATTTGATTCGGTCCCTGTGTGAGAAACCTTTTACGGGAAAATGCTGAAATATTCTTGGAGCTACAGGTATAATGGTTAAAAATAATTTGGAGGGAGGGGGAAATGGGTGGAGGGAGAGAAGAAGTGAATTTGGCAAAATGTTGATAATTGTCGAGCCTAGGTGATGAATACATGGGAGCTCAGGGCGGTTATTCTCTGTGTTTGTGTATGCTTGAAATGTTCCACAATAAAAACTCCATACAGGTTAAAAATAAGCCCCACATCCCCTGAATTTTGGAAATAATTCGTTCCCCGTCACAGTTCACCAAGTGCCGAAATAAGAACACACGTGACTTCAGGGACTCCTCACTGCAAATTTGTGTGGTGGGCGACGATTATCCTCTGTTTTGCTGATAAAGAGACTGAAGCTCAGAGAGGTGAAGCACCTTGCCCGAGGTCACACAGCTGTGGTTTCTGAGCCAGGGTCTGAGTGGGCTCAGGCGGTCTGATCCAGACCCTATGCTCTGAGTCCTACCGTGGCCCTGCCTGATCAGACGGGTCACCGACTCCTTTCTGGCCGAGCCCTTGTGCTCTGTGCTGGGAGGGGAGCAACCCATGGTCCACCTGCAGCCTCCAGGGGAGGGGAGGCAGCACCCAGAGGCCATGCCCTTTGGAGCGGCTGCTCTCTGGGCAAGGGCAACTCTGGATCTCAAAGACACAAGGAAGCACCCCCGTTTCAGCCTACACCACTCACCACACCTAATTGGATCCCAAGGCGAGGAATGAGAATGTCTCAGGTGAATTATGTCTGCCCCAAAAACCTACACCTGGTGGATGGCTGCTCTCGACAGCCATTCCTAGGCCTCACTCATTTCTCATCCACGGGGTGGTTAGAAAAGATTTCCCAGCACAGCCCTGGTGGCAGGCCTGACAGCTTCTCAGGGGAGGAAGCCCTGTTTCCCTAGGAAGCCAGCCCAGGACTTACACCCATCCCCCCACTGCAGCTGGAAGGACAGGGTCTGCCTTGGAAATGGCTCCACCAATGGCAGAGGCGGGCCTGACAAGGGTGGATGATTCTGTCTTGTCAGCGGTTCAGATCTTATTCAGCTGAAGACCTCCTCGGGAGAGGGGGCTGAAGCAGGAGACTGGACTCTCATCCCCCTGCATACCCTCCACTCCATCCATCCATCCATCCATCCATCCATCCATCTATCCATCCATCCTTATTCACTCATTCATTCACCCACCCATCCATCCATTCACCCACCCATCCATCCATCCACTTACATATCTACCCATCCATCTACCCATCCATCCATCCTTATTCATCCATCCACCTATCCATCCATCTCTCCATCCTTATTCACCCATCCTTCCAACCACCCGCCGATCTATCTATCCACTCATCCATCCATCCACCCATCCATTCTTATTCACCCATCTACTCACCCACCCACCGATTCATCCATCCATCCATCCATTCATCCATCCACCTACCCACCCTCAAATCCTCCCATACATCCATCTTTCCACCCCCGCAACCTACCCATCAATCTGTCCACGTTCACTCACACTAAAAATCCATCTGCATATCAGAATACCCAACATCTATCTTACCCCCTCCACCCATCCATCAAGGTAGCAACTATCTAACCATCAAGCCAGCCAGAATCTCCCTCCCAGCTTGTACCCACCCCTCCTAACTCATCCAATTGTTGAGCCTTCTCTGACCCCACTTCCTGCTGCATCCTAAGCCAAGTGCCAGGATCCCCAGATGGATTAGGAGGTGCAGAGGAGGAGGAGGAGGAGGAGAGGACTCTCATCTCACCGAGCCCTCAGAGTGGCTAAGTCACTTGTCTGCCATGTGACGCGGCCCACAGGCAAGGTCTCCCTCTCTGCTTTATGGCTCCCTATTGCCCATCCTGCCTTGGCGGTTTTCACTGGTTTCACAAGCACTGGGCTCTGCCATGTCCAGACCCACTTCGAGGCACATGACCAGCTACCAGCTTGCCACATGCAGTCTGCTCCCAGGGCAACTGACCCGCATTCCCCCCAATGTTCTCTCCTAGGGAAAGCAGCAGCATGCTGGCCACAGAATCACTCTGGAGATTCCGATAAGCCTGCCCCTTCTGAGTGTACCAGGAGACTTCCCTCCCCTTTGCAGGGTCCTTCTCTGTATTCTGACCCTAATCCTGAGAGGTGGGGATTTCTGTCCCCCTTTTACCTTTAAGTGTCTTCCCCAGAATAATGAAGCTGGGAGAACAGGGCAGGGTGTGGGGTGCCTGATGCCCACCCCACTGGCTGCCTTCCAAGCCACAAGGGCTGCATTTACCTTGGGATGTGGTTTTGGCCACAGGGGGGCCCTCCTTCCTCCTCTGCCCCAACCAGGGCCCTCCAGGCCAGCCTAATGGGTCACTGACCAAGGGCCTGGTCGCAAGAGACCGTGAGGGGGTCTTTCCTCGCCTGCCATCTGATGCCGTATATGAACGCAAGACAGGAGAGAGGTCAAGAGACCGGACCTGGAACCAGAGGCCTGGTTTCCCCGCCAGCTCTGCAGGGCCTGATTTCCCGATGGGGCAGAAAGGGGCTGATTTTAGAGGGGCTGCAGTGTACAGATGGGGGGATGAGGGCCCTGAGGTTGGCCCCAGGAACAGGCCCAGGTCCCGGGTGTAGGGGTGCAGACAGGGCGTAGGACTTGGGTTCGGCTTGCCTACCTCGTCACAGGGGGCAATGCGGCCCATCACGTCCTTCAGGTGCCCGATGGTCGACTCCTCCTGGAAGTCCCGCGGGAATGTCTCCGTCCATTCGGCCAACAACTGGAGCAGTTTGGGGCCAAACTTCCGGACCCGAGCCTGCAAGGCAAACCAAGGAGCGTCTGCACAAGGTGAAGGGGCCCCATCAGCCGCTGCATCAGCCACGCACTTCGCATGCTCTGCTGGGGTCGGGCTACCCCGGCAGCGCCCCTGGTGGCCAAGGGAGGTGTGCCTGGTGCCTTCCCTGTGTCAAGTGATAGGGATGGGGGCTGACCACAGGGGAACAGAGGGGACAGACACACGTGTGGCGCAGGATCCTCTGTTGTTTTTGCCTGCTGGGCATCCTACCTCCCTCTCTGGTGATAACATCTCAGTTTGCTTTGGGGGTTTCCGTCTCCCTCATTCCCCGCCCTTGGGGTTCAGAGGCAGCTTACCTCGCCTCAGGCCCCCTGGCAGGGGCCCAGATCAGTGCTGGCCAATGAGAACGTGGTACAGCCCCATCATGCACACTGATTGGCTCACAGATGGGCCTGTCGCCTAAGCTAAGCCAATGAGATTGGGACTTTCCTTGGGACCCATTTAGAGCGCGGCTCCCTGTTTCCACTGGAATTGGGAAGAGTAGATGGAGAACCTGGAGTGGCAAAGGCCACCTGTCACTGGGCAGGGAGACCCTGCCCGAGTGTGGGTGGGGCTGGCCCCGAGGAAAACGGAGCAGAGGGTCGGAGGGAGAAAGAACTCGTTTCCATGGGGGGTCATTGGAGCCCCGGGAGCCAGTGGTACTTGAGACATCGCAGTTGCATGAGCCAGCAAAGTCCCTTTGTCTTAGGCCAGTTGTAGTTGGGCTTCTACCACTATAGCACCAGAGCCCGATGGACATACCTATAAATAGTCACACCCCGCGGGATCTGGCCCGGGACAGAGGAAGGCTAAGCCATCAGCAGACCCCACAGGGGGAGGATGGGACAGAGTGTGCTGAGGGCAGAAAGCCCAGCAGATGCCACAGGGCCATCCCAGGTGGCAAGAGTCCTACTGATGGGGCTCTGGGGGCCTGGGTCTGGGCGTGCTGTGAGCTCAGGGCCTCTCACAGGGCAGTGGGAAACAGCACCTGGTTAAAGGTTCCAACTCTGTCCCTTCTAGCTCTGGGCCTCAGACAAGTCAGAAAGCCCCTGTGGGCTCCGGCTCAGGAGCATGGGGGACAGTGACCGCCACTCCAAGAGGTCAACGCATGAGGGCATGTCAGGGGAGTGCCTGTATCCTGGGAGGCCCCCTGACCTGGCCCTCACCTTGTCCAGCACGGGCTGGTCCAGTTGCTGTTGCTCAATGCACAGGTGGCAGACGCGGGCCAGGAGCTCCCGGGGCTCTATGAAGAGGCGGGCGCTCAGGAGGAAGGTGAAGATGTAGGCTTTCTGGCGGGACACAGAGAAAAGCAGCATGTGCTCACAAAGGCATGGCAGCGCTGTGCCCACAGATCCAAGACCAGCCCCAGCCCTAGTGTGTCCCCCATGCGTGGGGGAAGAGAGCCCGCTCTGATGCCCCTCCTCCCCGCTGCGTGGGTCACCCACCTCGGGGTAGTAGTCAGTCGTGGGCACCAGGTGCTGGATCAGGGTGTCCAAGGAGGCTGATGAGGGAGCCCCATCCAGGAGGGGCTGCCCGGACTGCTCGCCATCCGTGGGCTCGGTGGGGGGTGTGCCAGGGCTGCTGGGGGTGATCATGTCGGAGGCGCTCAGTGTCCGGGGCATGCCTATCTGCAGTAAAAGGAGTAGTTGAGGCACACCTGGGCTGGGGCCCGTCGGTCCTCTGGGCGCCTGGCTGGGTGGGCCCTGCCTCGTCCAGGAACTTCGGTGCCCATCACTTCCTGGGAGGGCTGCCAGGGATCCCTACCTCCCAGCACAGCATCCCTCAGGAACCAACCCTCCTCCACTCTTGGTCCAAGCCACTTAGGGACCGACTCTTTCCGCTCCTACCCCCAGGCAAGGTTGTTTTTGACTCGGCTTAGACCGCAATTCGCATATTGCCTCTGCCTGTGGCCACAAAGACTATTAGCTCAGGGATGGGCCTGATCCAAACTGGAGGGCTCAGGTGGGATCCCAGAACATCTGCGGTGCTCAGAAGCTCTCCCCCCGCCCCCCCCGCTGGGACCATCGTGGCTCACCAAGCGCCAGGGAAGTGGGCCCATTCCTGAGTTCGTCGGGTGAGGCCTTGCAGGAAGCTGTGTGAGTTGGGCTTCTCTCAAGGGTCTCTCAGTAGACTGATATTCCAGGCTCTTTGAGATTCTGACCCACTGACCCATCCAGCTGTTTCCCCCACGGGAAGGCTCTCCCACTGTGTTCACCCCTCATCCCTCTGGACACGGCTAAAATGCCTCCTCCTCGGTGAAACCTTCCCTTCTTCCCTACAGTGACCCTCCTCCCCAGTCTGGGTGCCTGGTGCAAAGGAAGGCCAACTATGCCTGTTTGTATGGTGACTTCTCCACCCAAATCTCCCCTAGGCGGGGCTCGGGGCACACGCTTGGGGCAGCACCGAGTAAAGGGTCTGGCCCACAGCAGGTGCGCCTCCAAGCATGGGCCGTGGACCTGTGTCTCCTCTCCCTGGTTCTTCCACATATCCCCAAGGGCAAGTCTTCCAGAACTAAGCCTTCAGGATACTCATGGCAGTGAGTCCTGGCTAAGCCCGTGTCCGTCTAACCAGCATTCCCCATGACATTGAAGTCACACATTCTTAACCGTGGAGTCCCACAGGCTCACTACAGGGACCTTCCAGGGGACAGAGTCTCCCCATCACCCCACTCACTCTGCCTGTGCCACCCCATGGCAGACAGGGACTGGGACCCGGGCCATTTCTGTCTTTTCTGACCCCTGGGTGCCCTGGCTTTCAAAGTAGAGATGGGGATGTGCAGAGTCAGAGCTGATGTTGGGGATTGGAGGGGGTCCCCAGGAGGGCCGTCCTGAGGGTGTAACAGGGACTGGGTCACAGCATGGGGGGGCGGCATGGGAACCGGTGTGGACCGCAGCCCGAGCCACCCTGGCCCGGGGGATGGCGGCAACTCTATTTCCCCTCCCCGGCAAAGCTGGAAGTGTTCAATTCTCAACTGATGAAACTGTACAGTGTCACCAAACCACCCTCTGCCAACCTGGTGGGGGGGCTGCCATGCATGTGGGCACGCGGGGGGCTGCCTGTGCGCACTGGGGAGGGGTGGGCGACTCTGGTCGGGGGGGGGGGACGCCAGCTCTGCCTCATGCCCAGGGCGCAGAGTCTGAGCCTAATACCACAAGACAGAATACACGCGAGGCTGCCAAAGTGTGGTCTCTCCTGCTGGACGCTGGGCACCTTCTCTCTGTGGCATTGGGGCTGCCCCAGCCTAGGTGGATTTTCTCAAAGATGAGCCAGTAGCTCGGGTGGAGGTGATTCTGGAAACCTCTGTGCAGGGCAGGGTGGTCTACCAGACAGTGTGGGAGAAGCCTCTCTGGGGAGGCCAGGTTGCTACCGTTTCAAGAGATGAACTGGGAGGCCCCCAGAACGCCTCCAGGCCTGGCCTGCCACTGGGGGCTGGATGCGGGATGCTGGGCACATGGGGAGGGGGGTGGGCTCAGATTCAGCTCTGCTCTGGAGCAACAGGTTCACGCTGGAGGCTGGAGTGAGGCTGGGGACCAGAACCATCACCATCCACAGGGATGCCCAAAGAGCGGGCAGGCTGCCGGTGTCACCCCTCTCAGGTCTCCAGCCACCCACGGTGTCCCCAGCTGGGCCCGGGGCCGGGTCTCTGTGGATATCCTCCTGTTGCAGTCTCTGGGTACCTCCCTCCCTGGGCTATTGCAAGGAGTGACTACTGGCTCCGTTCGAGGTACTGTGGGCCAAGCAGGATCTCTTGGAGCTGGTGGTGGGATGCAGACAACAAGCAGGCTGACATGTGCAGACAGACTGTGCCACCGAGGCAGGTGCTCTGCAGGGGGTGCCCAGGCGAGGAGAGAGGGTGGGTGCAGTCAGAGTTGCGGTGGTGGCCCGCCCATCTTCCTGCCCCTTCCTGCAGGTGTGCTGGCTAGCATGGGGCTGTGGGAGCCCCTCCCTGGCCTCCATGTGAGGACCCCTGGAGGCACAGGGGCTCCAGCTGGAGGAGGGGTGCTGTGGTCTGTGTGGAGGACTGAGGGCGGGAGGCAGTCTACCTAGACACTTGTGCGGCCAAGGGGCTCAGCGTGTGCAGGAGCTCAGCCAAGCTGTGGGTGGCTGCGGGATGGGGGGGAATGGGCAACATGCTGTGATCATGGGAGTGTGTGCTTAGGTGGCAGGAGCCAGGCTGTGCATCCTGGACAGATAGTAATGATCGACCAAGCAGGGGATCAGGGAGAGTGCAGGGTGGTGGGGTCATCGCATGCCCGTTGTGCAAAAACACAGCCACGTGAAGTTAGAGCCCCCCATACGCCCCCATCCCATAAGGAACTTCTTTATTAGTCTCCTATCTTTCAGAGCTCCTTTATGCAAGGACAAAGAAATAGAAGTACATATTCTCCCTTTTCTGTCTTTATTAGCACATCGTGCACATTCTCCTGTGCTCTTTTCCCTAACAATGTATTTTGGAGAGCTTTCCATGGCAGGACAGAACGTCTTTGTATTTTTATTTATTTATTTATTTTTAACGGCCATGATTTGGCTGTCCAGGGGTGATTTTTAAAAGCCAACGATGAAGCAACTCAAGTGCCCGTTGCTGGGTGAACGGATAAACGAAATGTGGGCTACCCCTACAATGGAATATTATTCAGCTGTAAAAAAGAAGGGAATGCTGACATAGGCTACACGGTGGGTGAAGCTTGAGGGGAGTATGCTAAATGAGACCGGCCAGCCCCAGAAGGACAAATACTGTGTGACTGCACTTATGGGAGGTGCTAGAATAGTCACATTCGTAGACAGAGGATGGTGGCTGCCAGAGCCTGGGGGGAGGGGGAGAGTTCATGTTTAACAGGGACAGAATTCCAGTTTCGCAAGCTGTAAAGGGTCAGGGGGTTGGCTGCTCAACAATACAGATGCATTTAATACCACTGAACTGTAGCCTTAAAAATGGCTTAAAAAGGGCTAAAATGGTAGATTTTATGTTATGTGTATTTTACAATTTTTTTTAAAAGCCAGTGATGATGGGGAAATTGTTTATCATCACAATTTCCCTTGAAAGTCCTTGAAATCACCAGTAAGCCTTCCAATACGTGTTTTTTTTTTTTTTTTAACACAGCCTGCATGGTGTACATGCGTGGTGGGCTGGGGGCTGGGGCTGGCATAGACGGGGTCCGAGCCCGAGGGGCTCATCACAGCTGGGGACACTGGGGGACCAGCAGGCAGCTCTGCCTGTGCCCTCTGAAGAGCAGTTTCAAGTTCTCGCTCTTTCTGCCGTGCTGGGGGCACGGGGCTCTGCGTGTGTGAGCAGACGCGTGCACGGTATGACCCCAGCAGTCTTCCCCTTTACCGCTGTGGCACGAACAAGACTGTTAAACCACCAATGTGATCAGGCTGCAGCACTGAAAAAGGTGTCACTGGTGGGCCTCCCGCCACCCTGCTGTCCCCATTGCTGTGATTCAGCGTCATTCCTTCCAGCTCAGTCATCACACAAAGCCTCAGGCACGACAGGCCCCAGGGACACCTGGACAGATCCCAGGGCGGCAGTGGGTGGTGGGTCAGGGGCATGTCCACCCCAGGGCGAGGCCACTGAGGGGGCACCAGTGCCTTGTGCTGGCGTACAACCAAGAGGGGCCAAGCCACTCTCTGCAGCTGGAACTGCGAAGGCCGCTCTCTGACCTGTCCAGGTGAGGGCCTCTTGCCCAGGACGAGCCACTCACCAGGCCTTGGCACACACTGGACCTGCCCGCCTGGTGGCCTCCCAGTCCCCAGGCCTCATGCTGGCCTGGGTCTCCCTGTGCTGCATGTCCTCTAGGAGGGGCCTGGCTCACTCACCGCTGCAACCCAGGGTCTGCCCGCCCCCCACCCCCCCGCCCCCGGCCCACACATAGTGGGTGCTCGGTCAAGGTGCATGGTGTTCAAGTGACTCAGCAGCACAGGTGAGAGCAGAGGAGCCTGAGATTAGAGTGGCATGGGGGACGCGGCTGACATGCGGGCTTCCCAGCGGGAGAATGAGCGGGAGGGAGGAGCAGGGAGAAGCCCCTGGGCCTGGCCCTGCTCGCTCACCCCTCAGCCCTCCCATCGTTCCGATGAGGAGATGAATGCTCGCAGAGAAAGGCGGGTGCCCAGCTCCCTCGATGAGTACCTGGCTGAGTGGGACTTGAGCACAGGTGGATCTGAGTCCCAGGCTCCGTTCCTGCCCACCAGCCCAGCTGGGCCCTGATGCTGGCGTTCCCCAGACCACAGCCTCCAGGGGACCCGGGCAGACTCCGGAAGTGTGACCAGCAGTGCCCAGAGTGTGAGGAGAGAAGCATGTGCTGGCTGGCCGCGGGGGTCACCTCAGCCCCTCCTGGAGACAGGCCAGCCCTCGCCCACATGGCGCCTGGCCTGTGGGGACCAGTCCCATGTGCCGTGTCTCCTTCCCAGCTCAGACCCTGGCTCCGGACCCAAGTCCACCCTCCTGGTGCCTCCATCTGTTGGGTCTGCCTCCTTGGCATCCATTTCCTTTCCTTGTGGCCAGAACACCAGGCTTCACGGGTGTTCCCGCAATAACCACGCCTTCTGATGAACACAGACCGGGGTGCTGAGACCGTCAGGGAGGCTCCGCCCACACCTGGCCAAGGGGCGGGCACCAGCCCGGGCTGATCAGACGCTGCCACCCTGAAAAATGCACCTGAAGGGGGCCTGACCTGAAGAGGCCGGCCTGGGAGGGCTTGGCTTCTGAGTCACAGCTGCCCCCTTTCTACGCGTGCACTTCTGCCTCGGTTTCCCTGCTCACATCCCCTACTCCCGCTGCCCAGGCCCCACCCATGAGGTGCATCTGTCTCTGCGTGTTTAGATCTCCAGGCTCAGCATCTGGAGGTCCTGGGGGCTCCCCCGACAGTTACGAGGCAGCGAGTCTGCGTTGCATCTGCGGGGAGGACCCTCCCCCCGAAAGCCATCCTGCAGGTGGGCACCCTTCATTCTGGGGTTCTGTGCTGTCAGACCCAGAGCCCACCTGCCGCTGGGATCTAGTGCTGGACAACTTTTTGGGACTGTGTGGCCTAAGCCTAACTCCTGTATGTAACACAGAGACAAGTGTTGGACCAGATGGAATTCCCAGGAAGGTACAGACCTAGAGGGTAACCTTTCTCTCATTCCCCAACATTTCTCTAATTCCCCAAATACCTAACCTTCCTCTTCACTGGACAACACAAAAACACCCGGCAAGAGGCTGGCAAGGGCCCTGTGGTTCCCCCCAAGGAGAGGTCCATAGAGAAAGTCTAGAGTTGTGGCCACAAAAACAGCACAGCTCCACTGGGATCCTGTGGGGCTGACCACATGCTCAGACCTCCCAAGTTTAAAAAATGTCAGGACTCCTGACTTGTATGCTTGGTATCCTCATTTTTTCTTTTTCTTTTTCTTAGAAGGGGGATCAGAGGGAGAGAGAGAATCTCAAGCAGGCTCCACGCCCAGGAGCCTGATGCAGGGCTTGACCTCACAACCCTGAGATCATGCCCTGAGCCAAAACCAAGAGTCGGAGGCTCAACCGACTGAGCAACCCAGGCGCCCCAGCTACTCTGATTTTAAAGGTGGCAATTCACCTTATTAAAAAATAAAAAAAAAAAAAGCCACCATGGGGGCCACAGTGTGGGACAAAAGCATATTTAGAAACAACATCTCTAGCTCCCAGGTGGGCAGTTTCCAAGTCCCGCTCTGCTGTCACAGTCCCCGGTTCTGTTGGTTGGCATTCAAAAATCTGCAAAGAATGGAAAGCCATAGAACCTATGGAAGAAAAGCACATGGCTGGTCAGCAGAGTGTGTCTTGGGGGCTAAAGAGATGTGCTCCCAGGCATCCGTCCCTGGCTGGGCGCTGGGCCGGGCCTGGCTGAAGGGACAGAGACAAAGGACGCCCCTAGAGGATGACCCTTTGCAGCATGAAGAGTCTCCTGGGCTTTTCAAGTGTCTTCATGTGCTGAGAATGGGAAGAAGAATCCCTCCTCTTCAGTTTATGGAGAGGAGTCACGAGATTAAGTGCACAAAGCACCCAGCACAGTGCCTGCCATGGAGAAGAAAGGGCTGCCAAGACCAGTCCTCCCCAAGGGCCCGCGCCACCTGCAGGGCCTGGAACCATAACACGGGTTGTCATTCCAACTGCTAATGGTGCTCTGGGCCAAAAAGACTTGTCCAATGGGCTCCCGCGATTTACCAGGGTTTCCAAGCTGGCTGAGGCTTGGAGGGCCCTCTACCCCAACACCATTGGAATTTTGATAGAGATTGCATTAAATTTGTAGATTGCTTTGGATAGAACTGACTTCTTAACAATATCAATCCATGAATACAGGGTGTCTTTCCATTTATTGTGTCTTCTCTCATTTCTTTCAGCCACGTTTTATAATTTTCACTGTGTAAGTTTTTCGTTTCCCGGGCTGAGTTGATTCCTAACTATAAGCTCCTAAGTCTATTCTTTGTGATGCTATTGTAAATGGGATTGCTTTATTAATTTCTTTTTTTAAAAAAGGATTTTATTTATTTATTTGACAGAGAGAGAGAGAGATAGCGAGAGAGGGAACACAAGCAGGGGGAGTGGGAGAGGGAGAAGCAGGCTTCCCGCGGAGCAGGGAGCCCGATGCGGGGCTCGATCCCAGGACCCCGGGATCATGACCTGAGCCGAAGAAAGACGCTTAACGGACTGAGCCACCCAGGCGCCCCATCTTCATTTCCTTTTTTGATTGTTCATTGTTAGTGTGTAGAAACACAACTGTTTTTGTTTTTGTTTTTTTTGGTGTTGATTTTGTATCCTGTTTTTTTGCTAAATGAATGTTAATTTGTCCAATAGGTGTGCACGCACGCGTGCCCATGTGTGTGTAACAGTCTGTGTTTAGGGTTTTCTACATATGAGAACTAATTTTACTTCCACCTTTCTGATTTGAGTGGCTTTATTTATCTGTGTGCTGGCTAGAATTTCTTGTACTTTGTGGAATAGCGGTGGCAGAAGTGAGCATCCTTGTGTCGTTCCTGATCTTAGTGGAAAAGCCTTCCGTCTTTCATCGTTGAGGATGATGCTATCTGAGAATGTCTTAATTTCTCCCTCATTTTTGAAGTACAGTTTTGCTGCATGTAGGGTTCTTGGTTGACAATTTTTTACTTTTGACACTCTGAATATATTAACCCACTGCCTTCCGGCCCCCAAGGTTTCTGATAAGAAATCTGCTGGTAATTTTATTGAGGATTCCTTGTATGTGACAAGTCACTTTTCTCTTTGTTTTCAAGATTCTGTCTTTCAACAGTTTGATTATAATGTGTTTCAGTGTGGGTCTCTTTGAGTTTATCCTACTTGGAATTTGTTGACCTTCTTGTATGTTTATATTCATGTCTTTTATCAACTTTGGGAAGTTTTCAGCCATTATCTCTTCAAATAACCCCTCTGCCCCTTCTCTCTGTTCTCTTTCTGGGACTCTCACAACATGTATGTCCGTCTACTTAATGGTGTCCACACATCCCTCGGGTTCTGTTCATTTTTCTTCAATCATTTTCCCCCCTGTTCCTCAGAATCAATTACTTCAATTGTCCTATCTTCAAGTTCACTGATTTTTCTGTCTGCTCAAATCTGCTTTTGGAAACTTCTAGTGAATTTCTCATTTCAGGTATTGTATTTTTCTGCTCTAAAAATTTCTTTTGGGTTCCTTTTTCTTTCTTTATCTCTTTATTGATATTTCTATTTTGTTCATACATAGTTTTCTTGACCATCCACCTTTAACTTTAGCTCTCTGAACATCTTTGAGACAGTTGTTTTGAAGTCTTTGCTAATCAGTTCATCATCTCATCTTTCTTAGGGATGGTTTCTCTGACTAATTCCCCCCACCCCCTTAATAGTCCTTTCCTTCCTGTTTCTTTGTAGGTCTTGTGATCTGTTGTTGTTGTTGTTGAAAATGGGACGTTTGAATCTTGTAATGTAGTAACCCTAGAAATCAGATTTCTGCAGGGCTTTCTGTTTTGTTTGCTTTTTAAAATTGTTGTAGGGTGCCTCTGTGCCTGGATCAGACTGAGGTATGAATTTAAGGTCCTTTTGGGTCTTCTCTGAGCCTACACCTTTCTCTGGACATGTGCAGTAACTTTTTAAATTCCTTTCTATACGTGGTTGCTTTTGAATACCCTAATCCTTAAATGTCTGGCTCCCAAAAGAGGGAAAAGGGAAGAATAAAGGGGGGAAAGTAACAGGCTCTGGCTCTTTAAATCCCCTGGAATCCTCTTCAGCCAGTACAGATCGCAGTAAAAGAATAAAGGGGGGAAAGTAACAGGCTCTGGCTCTTTAAATCCCCTGGAATCCTCTTCAGCCAGTACAGATCGCAGTAATGATGGCCTGCCTCCGTATCTGCACCTCTGTGATCAGAAACAGCAATAAGCATCAGGACACAGATTCCCCAGTATTTACAGGACAAGGCCCTTCTTGCCTACCTTGGCTCCTGCAGCTGTGGGTAAGCTACTCCAGGAATATGTGCAAGGCTGCTACCAAGAGGCCGGGGGCGGGGGGTGGTGGTGGTTGGTGGAGGATGGGTAGCTGCTACCGTGTTAAGAGCTTAAATTGACCGAAATGAACTGAAACTTTCCAAGCCTTCCTCTGAAGCTGAAAGTCTTAGGATAGGCTCCAGAGTTCTAAAACAGTTATATCAGATGGATTCTGCCAGTTCAGCTGTCTAGCTGGTAGTGGAGTCTTAGCGCTTCTTGCTCTACTGTCTTTCCCAATACTCTCCTCTCCCCATTGTATCTTTAACTGGATGTTGCTATTGGATTTTTTATGTGGATTTTTAGATCTCATTAGTTCTAACAGGCTTGTTTTTCCAGAAGACAATTATGTCTACAATTCATGGTGATTTAATCTCTTTCTTTCTGGGTGG